TGTCTTCAGAATAAAGCAAGCTTGTTGTACTGATGCAGATGTCTGTAAGTGGATTGGGCAGACTGACTCAGCATTTATCAGATTTGGGGCTGAGGAATGAGGGAGAAATCTATACTGGGTTTTGGAGACCAAACTGAAGAATATAGAAAGAAAAACGAAAAATTTTTAGTCTCAATTTTTCTACAAGGTATTCATCACGAAACACATCAAAGACAATGGGGTCATGTGGTACACGACAACAGTGCCCTTTCATTACCTGGACAGGGGACAGTCAATAACTGGGCTAACAGAGTCGACAGGACTTTACATCTGTTTCAGTTTTACTGTACTTCCTCTCCTGTTGTTTTCACTCATTGAAAGCTAGCTGACGGCATCCATTAGGACCGACTGCGGATAGTAGGGTATGCATCCTACCATGGGAAAGTGTTTCTCAGGATCCCACACTGAACAAGGACAGAGTGGACAAATCAAACAGGAGTATGCGATCGTATATCTCCCACATGGCTTTGAAAAGTGAACTCTAACTCCCTAGATAGTAGTTCCTAAAAAAAAAACTTGGATGGAGCCAGTGGTTTTGCACTCAATAAAGTTTCACTTGTGTTTGTGTGAATTATGGTTTGGAGTAGCTGAAGTGGGTAGCAGTGATTTCTTTCATGGACTGGCCTTGTCTGTGGGTTTGACTTTTTTTTCAGTCTTTAAATGTTGGTGTGGTTCCTGAAACGAGTGTTTGTTTGTCAAAATTATAAGACAACGAAAAAAATAATGCATGATAAAGTTGTTACTGACATTCTTCAGGACCAAAAAGCAGAGGTAACAAAATACAAGTCAACCCTTAAGCTGAGCAGACATAGTATACCCCCCTTCTCCACCTCGAATTGTCTGCTGTGAGACAGAGTAGCACAATGCTGCAGCTCCTCTCGGGGCTTCCTTTACTTTAATTGTGAAAGCTCCTCCTACAGGCAGACCGGAGTATCAGACTCTGGGGAAATAACAACCTCTGTGGCTGGATTTCCTCAACCTACTCGGAGATATTACCTCATGTTTACACCGCATTTGCCTCAAAGGTTACGCCGGGGACGAATCTACATTCTTCTCATTGTCAACAAATCCAGTGCTGAGATTTAAACTGGTGCACCGACTCCTCTCAGTATTTTCTCATCCTCCTGCTCTGTCAGCCCATAACCAATTTGCTCCTACTCAAAAAAAGATACATCTTGAAACAAATACATATCCATATGTAAGCTTTAATATAATTTTCCACCACAAAGAACTATAATTTGGTGTATTTTGGGGTTCATTTTTAGTCTATTTAAAATATATACATGGGGTATTTTTTATTTTCTGAAAACAGAATTTTATATAAGGACAGCTTCCACAATTTTGCACTTTTTCTATTTATTGTATTTAATTTATGTCACATTTCAACATTGTGGGCCATGTATATTTTTTTACTGCTTGGAAAATAAAAAACATTAATAGGATTGGTGTTCTTGGTTTTGGTCTTATTATTACTTTGGAATTAGTGAAATAAGAGATACTGAAAATATTGCTTTCTTATCTTTGAGCACGCCAGCGTTAAACAAGGCCTTGTGCTGAAATCAGACTGATGACTTCTTAAATAAAGGTCTTCTGAAGCATCACCGTTGTCTGAAATGGCTAACGAGGGGAATCAGGATTGCAGAAGATTTTCTGAATTACATCACGACAAGAAAACATTAGCAAGTAGATTATAGATATGGATGCATTTGTGGTAGGAAAACACAATTAGGTAGAGACCGACAGAAAGTGCAGCTGTGGCATGTTAAAGTTGGCGCTTCCCGGCATAAAGAATAATGAGAGAGGTACCAAATGTAACACGCACTGGAGGCAAACAATGCTTAAGAGAGATAAAGTACGAATAAGTTTGGAAGAGTACAACAACAAAAAAGTATTTGGAGATTAAAGAGAAAAGTACACATCCTCAGACCTATGCCCACTTGTATACAGGCAGACAAACAGACCCAGACTAACATACACGCTCACACATGCAAACACATGCACGCAGACACACGCACACACACACGCACAGAGTTAATAAAAGCTGCAAGCAGTGGTACCCTGCAGTTCTTACACTCACCAGGAGAGCCCACACGGCAGAGGCACTCACAGACAGGTCACGCTTGCCAGTTTCCTTAAAGGTCAACTCATCTACTTAAGAGGCACCAATTTACTTTAATGCACATTGTCCAAAAGAAGGAGAAGAAAAAGGCAGAAAAAGAAATGACAAGGGAGGAAAAAACATCACAGTATAGCTGAAGTGTCCTCTAATTGTGTCTTCTGTCATTAGAAAATATGAATACTCTTCGAAGATGAAGAAGAAGATTAAATAAATATCTGATATCAAATCTATTAAAAGAAATAAAGAGTCCTAAAACTGGCGAGGCCACGTGCTTGTAAAATACACAACGTCTTAGATGACAAGTAAAGATGCCAGCATTGGGCAGACTGCAGCCACCACATTATCAACAGCGTTCTCACAGACACACACATGCACACACACACACACACACACACACACTGCGCTCTGTTGAATAGTCTTCCAGGCAGCTCACTGACGCCGGGGAAAGAGGAGAAAGCCTCTTGATAGACTCTTGTAGATGCCATTCCCTATCACGCAATGCCTCTCAGTCATAAACACATGACAAATGCAGCCTTAATCATTTTTTACGAGCGGGGATGTGCAGGGGGCAGTGCATGGCTAGAGGGGAGAGGGGAGCGGTGAGCAGCAGGCGGCCCCCTCTGCACAGAGGAGAGGGCTGTGTGGTAAAGTCTCCTCTGGAACATCACTCGGCCAGCGCGCCTTTGATCTCCACACCGCAATTACACCAGCATCCAAATGAGCATGGAGTCGCCTCTGAAACAGACTTCAAACATGCACATGTACGCATTCTCATACACATACACTGTATAGGATTGGAGCCATGTGCTCCTCTCAACAGTAAATGATGTACTGTCTCCAGCAGAGAACCTGGGGATGAAAGGAGGCCTTGCTCCTTGTCTGATCCCTCCATTAATGATGGCTTTCTAAAGCTAATACTCTGTATTCTTGTCTAAACAAGGCCAGCTTGGTATGTGGTTCCCATACTCCAAACAGGATGATCTTGGTTAACAACAGAATGTTTTTGGAGACTTACAATGCTAAATAAAACTATTGCAAACGATGGTGCAATTGCCATAACTATTTCGAGAAAATGCTATTAAAGTAATAAAATAGTAATAAAATAAAAACTCAATTAATATGCATACATTAAAAATATCAGGAGTGTGTAACTGAGATTAAATAACATGAACCTAAATCTTGCTTGGCAGCATCTCAGCAAAACACCTTAAATATAAAAGAGCTTAAAAAAAATAAAAAGAAGCAGGGAACTGAACCTGTGAAAAGGCCTGAATGGGTGTCCTGAGAGACGCAGATAAAATTGGCTTATTTGCCTCATTCTACGATTCGCCTTCTTTTCCTGAACACATTAAACCTGGGATTGCAATTTGTCTTGCTGTTTGCTTTGAATAGTCCTTAACCGTATCATCATCTCAACTGTGCTGGTGGAAAAACACGGGAGCATGGCGACAGCCAAATGGCAGTCTGGCGTCTCTGCAGCAGACTAGCTGCCATTAGGGCTGAGAGCAGCATTTATTGTACAATTAGGGACAGCTAGATCTACCTGTAATCATCTCCATACAGGTGTGAGCTCCTCTCTGGACAAGGGAAGTGACTCATCACTTGTCAAACATCAACACTTTGATGTCGGCATTGTTCATCGCGGAGCCCTCGGGACACCTGAGCACTACTGTTTGCTTGTTTAAAACACTGTGAGATTTATTGCATTTCAGACAGTTAAAAAAATGCACGCACACACACAACATGAGAAAAAAAAGGGGGGAGGGGGGACCTCTATTCCTACTGATGACGGATGTTCCACTTGCCATGAATCATTTGATTTATGAGTTCTCTTTCTCCTCCCTCCGTCTGACAGTCATACTTTCGTGTCAGGAACATTTTAACAAACAGTCATAGGTAAACAACTTCACTTGTAATACAATGCTGCCAAGTAAAGCACCAAAAACAAATTTTCTAAGAAGTGACACCACCAGCCTGGAGGGCAATTGGAAAAGTGTGATAACAATCCACAAGTTGGTATTATTGACAAAATGGCTGCAGTGTGGGAAAAGTAGCCCTTTCAGACATAATGGATGTCAAACACCAGCCTTCTGGATCAGCTCTCACTGAGGCCACATGACAACATTACTACAAAAAAAGTGCTTGTAAGGATCTGGAAGTTTATATTAGTGCCTTCAAGGTCATCTTTAGCCCTTTGACATCGTGACCAGTGTTGCACCTGAAAGCATGAGTCATGCAATTCCCTGTACATACGCATTATTATGGAAAACAGTCAGTTAAACGCATCTAGGAATCCTCGGCTGTCGTTCTGAACTGTGGGAATTTCATGCCTGTGAAGTGATGCTTGTAAAGCAAGAGCAACAACATGTGAAGACAAAACCAAATATTTGCAAAAACAATTTCAGATAATCTTTAAGGAGTCTTGCCCCTATGATTTATTGGCCCAGATGATTTTAATCAGCTGTTTGGCTTCAAAATGTACATACGCTTGTTTTGTTTTGTCATTTAAAGCCTTCACTCTCTTTGATATCATATGGAAATGAGAAATTTTGCTGGAAATGGAGACCATATGCTCGTATGTGCTTAATGAAGTGCAGAGTCTGGGGCTGGGTGTTGTGTTAGAGCTTACTTAGTGCCACCTCCAGGCAGATTCTCTCACAGAGATATGACTGTTGTTGTCAGCAGGAGACCACAGTAAGTCTCACACAACGGCAAATGTGCACACGTTTAGATTAAACTAAGTAAAAATGAACGCTATTCCTTACGTAAGTAGAAGGAAAGCTCTTTAGTGATGATTAGTGAGAGCAATGAATCTGCTCCCGCCCTTCTTCGAAGTACTCACCATTTGTTCTTTCTTCTTATGTAGTCTTTCTCAGAGAGATTAACGAGGTAGATCATTGGTTTGGATGTCAAAAACAAGTATTTGTTCAGCACTTCGATCTGTAGAAAAAGACAGACAAGGCAAGTACTGAGAATCCACAACTTTCCAAAGTAGCCTTTGAGGACAACACAGAGACAAGCGAAGCCAAATCAAATTAGAGTCTGGTGTATAGGCTCTGTGGGGCGCAACTAGGAAGCCTCTAAATCAAGATCAGCATGGCCAGATGTCATTAGCTTGTACAAAAGCAATGTCAAAAAATAACTGTGCATAATATTAACTTGCGATTTGCACAAAAAACATGTTGCTTGAAAAACAGAACGCAAAAAACAAAAGAAGAGGAAACAGCAGTTGTACTTTTAGGTCAGATGAAAAGATTAGCACGATAAATCGCGCCAATAAATGTGACAACAACATCAAAGGCTTACCTCCTTGTCGTTCCAGTCGTGATAGTAGCGGATGTGTTTCTTTTCATCCACTACCCAGCTCTTGATTTTGCACATAATGTCCTGTATGGGGTTAAAATAGAATGAACAAGGAGCCATTAAAGGAGATGAAAAAGAATATAAACCCAGCAGGGTATGGGGTAATTATTTCCTAAATGCATGGCATCCTGATGCCAAAATGAACAATGGCCTTTGCTCGCATTCAAGCAGGAGTGGCCTATCTTTGACAGGGATGGCATGCACAAGACCCCCTTCCCTCCTTTAAATCATGACAAAATGCCTTCTGGGGTGTCTCTCTCAGAGTCTCAGCTTTATACATCAATATTCCATCGGGACTGTTTAATGAAAAGGATAGAGAGAGGAGACGAAATTGGAAAGAGCGGGGAACTAATTGGAAGTTGGTTAGTAAGGTGTAAATTATTGGTCCCTCCTCAGGCACTTTGCAGAATGTAGTCCTACTGAATAAGGACTAGTGAGGTACAGAGCTAATTATTCCGTGTTTCTTCTGGAGAAAATATTGAGCATTTCCAGCTATGTATGCCACATTCATTACTGAGGTACTTGTGGGTTGAGACCACAGGCAAGACTGGGTCTTGACAGGATCTGGAAGCGGAAAAGGGTGGGAAAATGGGAGGGAGGTAGTTATAAAATTTGTAATAAAGAAATTGAGCCTATTATTGTTGATCCAGCCCCACAGAAATTAGCGGAACACATTCTTTTTGTTCCTGTCAACTTGACCTCCCCCTTCATATAAAAACTCCCCCACCCCCTGCAACACTCCCCCTACCTCCTTTTCCCTCCCCAAACCCTTGCAGCACTTCACAATCATACTCCCTTTTGAAAGAACTGAGGAAAAAATCCTGCCAGAGCCTCAATTACACAATGGCAGAAAAAGCTCCACACACTGACCCCCAGCCAGCTGCATTCACTCTCTGCACATCTCTCTCCACAGGAATTCTAAAGGCCTTTTAGTCAGGCAGCCAGAGTGCAGCCAGCGGGAGAGAGCGCAGGAAGAGCTGCATACACTCCGCCCGCGCCGGCCCAAGTCTTCACAGAGAGATTAATCATCTGTGAAATGGAAACAGCAAACGGCCAGTGACACAGGCTGAACCCGCTCCAGGTTTCCCTCATCAGCTCGCAGCCGCCGTGCAGAGCTCCTCTAACAGGCAGGTGTTAATAAAAGGCATATAGGTCCCACAGGGGTCAAACACATACGCTTGCCACCATGAAGCGCCGCTGGTGGGCCGGTTTCCTATTATTGTTTTGCAGGGAGAGGGAATTTGAGGATTCACTTGGACAAAAGCAATGAAACATTGTTTTTGTAAACACAGCACCAGCAAACATGTTTACATTTTTTAACAATGCATAAATTTGAGCCTTGTAGTGGTGCGTGCACATAAATTTAGCACAACAAAATATTAGAACTTTTAGGAATTTGAACCTTACAGTAATTTCCATATATGTCTTTATTTTTCCTAAATAGTATAACATCATCCGTGTAGCAGTGTTTTTTTTAACAGTTTAGATAAAACTGCATACTTCTTCACAACTCAAATCCTTTAATCTCATGATGTCAGTCTTGTCTTTAAGGATTTTGTCTTGTGCCGACATCCGGTTTCAGCAGGAAGTTAGGCTTTAAAAACAAGCAAGATTTGTGTCACAAACTACAATTATTCAGTGTTGTCCTTTTGGTGTTATCTTATACTGCATAATTATATGCTGCTTTGCACAGTAGTTTTCTTTCAGAGTAATACACTACGCTGACACTGTGCTTCTATATAACAGGGTAAAGGTCTGCATTTTTCTGCAAGACAACACTTTGCCCTTTCAATCCAACACTTGATGAGTGCAAACAGAAGCAAATTCACATGAACTCAATGCTGACCTTCTTCTTCTTCTTTTTTTTTTAAATTAAGCATATTTTCAGTTTTGTAACACAGCAACTTGTGGGCTTTAAGATGCTTGATTTTATTTAAAATACACTGCTGCTTTTCGTGCAAAAAACCCTCCCCTGATTTTTGAATTTTTAGGCCATGTTTTAACAAGAAACAGGGTGTATCATCCTGAATTATGTCATATTTACCACTGTGATAATCACCACAGACTTAAATAGTACAATAAGACACTCTCACATTTCAATCCCATTAAATGAATTCTTTAAATCTGTTAGGAACAGGATAAAATATGTTTTTATTCATGAATTTTTACACCACACGCAGACCTGTAGAGTCTATAGACAAATGAGTGCGACAAAGGAAATTAAATCCCATTTCAAAGGTCTTTCAAGCAATCACCTTTTAAAAGGCTGCACACAATATCCTTTTTAGTTCACATTATTTCGTGGCACTGCAAAAGAAAGAACGAGCACCATTGTTTCTACTAAACTGTACATTTTTAGACATAGTCTCGATGTTCTGCATATAGATGTTGAATTAGACGTGCGTACGTGTGCCTACACACAGCTGAGCATGTCACACGCTAGGCTCAGCCTGTGAGACAATCACACAATCCCTCCCATCTAAAAGCTTAGTGCAGCCTTTGATAAGCACCATTCTTTGCCATCTAAAGAGGTCTTCTATAGATTCTCACTTGCCGACGCGTGCACAACCTTTGACAAGTAATGTAGATCATTTTTATTCATTGCCTAAAATTGTTAGCAATTATGTGCGTAAGCGGCCACCTGCCTAGCCTGAATGGCTCCTGTCTGCGGGGCTACAGGGGTGTGGGGAAGTGCTGCTGGCTGTAAGGGGGTGGGGGGGTTTCGTCTGAGGGAAACCAACCAGTCACGGGGGCCTCTGCAGCAGGTGAAATAGCCCCTCTCGTTAGTGTAATGAGTGGTCAGAGCCTTGGTGTGTTGGGGCCTGAAATTGGGCATGCTGCTCCAAGTGAAAGGCCAGATCCCCCTTGCTTGCTGGCCCATCCTAACCTGCTCCAATGATGGAAGGGCATCATGTGACATTTGCAACCAAATCATTGCTAAAGTTAGCTGCTCAGCCTCATTACCGGAACAATATAACCACCTGAGTGTGTGCGAGCATCCATATGTATTTTGATCTAGCATCCAAGATGTGGATTCTTTTCTCATCTTGCCTTGCATTTTGCCCTGCACCACCGAGAACTGAGAATCTTCTGTCAAAGCATATTCTAAACATTTACTGTATTGATAGCAAGGTATAGGCATATGTGTCACCCACTATATGGCCTCACACAATTTCCCGAGCTGCTGTAGGTGTATAAGCATGAGACAGAGCTGTGCCATGATTTGAGTATTACTTTAGATGAAAAGAGCTGTGTGGAAACACTTTCATTAGCCCAGTGCTGTGACCCAGGGTCAGTAGCTGAATAAGTAACTCTCTATTAATGATTTCTACAGCAGAAAACCCCTGACCCCTGATCACTTTCAATCTCAGAAAGGGAAAAATGGGCCAGGGGGAGGGGTGAGACCTATTGGAGGGAGATTAAAAAAACATACTTTTTTTTTTTCCTTGGCCATGTGTGGGTGGGTTATTATTTGTGCCTTGCTGTGAGGGGGAGCAAAGGGCCTGCTGGGACATTGACTCACATATTCTGGTTTGAGTTTCTTGTCACTGCCTCTAATGGCTGTCTTCTCTAGCTTGTCAATAATAGGGCTGATCATCTCCTCATCCTTCAGCCTCAGCTCCTCGTGGATGATCTCCATGTCCCTCACTGGGTCCACTGTTCCCTCCACATGGATGATATCCTCGTCATCAAAAGCACCTGCAGGGATAAAATACAAACACACAGGGAGAGCATCAGTATAAAGGTTTTTTTCTTCTTCTTAGAAATAACAACAGCGCTGCTTTAGATGAACACGTATAATCCAAACAGCAAATTGGGGTAACAGAATCAATGACATTGACTTTTTGGAAATCAAATGCAAAACAGTGATTAGATTCAGCCCAGGAAAATCATTAGTTTTTGCAGAGAATATGAAAAAAAGGCATCCACATAAAAAAGCACAATGTCAGTCATAGAAATGCAATATTCAGGAATATAGTTAATCTTTATTTTCAGTGTGTCAGAACAGTTAGAAACCAGCTCACAGTGTCAAGCCAAGTTCCACTAAAATTGGCTTTAAGTGCAACTAAAACAGGCCTGTCTGTCATTCTGCATGAAGGGGAGAGCATCTGGCCTTGCATTTCCTACTTCTCCGTTTTAAAACTATTAGCCATTTAGTGAAAAAAAAAAACATAAAAACCAACAAAAAAAATGCAGAAAACTAAGCATGATTTAGGAGAAAATGTCAGCATTCTTATATGAAAGAGGACAGCCGTCTTCTAATCATTTGCATCTTAGCTGTGGCTATGCTGGTGATTAGGTAATGAGACTGTGAAGCAGACCATTTAGCCACCAGCGGCTCTTAGGACTCCTTCTGATTCTTCAGCAGTGCTCAAGGTTTGGAAGGGGGGTGGTGGCGGGTGGGGGTGGGGTTGGTGGGGTGGTGGTGGGTGGGTTGTAC